TAAATGGGGTCAGCTATATGAATCTTATAACGTCATTATGTTCGGTTATGTGTCACGTCTTCCGTTAGATCCAAATACTCTAAGTCTTTTCTTAGAGTCATGTGGAAAATTGAATCTGTAATTTAAAATTGTGAGGAAATTGGAATTCGTCGATCTGAAACATTGAGTTTCATGAACTGCCGCCAAAGTGGCGCCTCCGTTGATATAACAGAAATAGTATGCGCAGATTCATCCATTAAAAGGATGCTGTGGTGCATTAGTTCATGTCTTATGGTGGCAATTTTGGCGAACATGCACGAATATAGCATTTTATGTGTACATGATTAACACTGTTTCATTGACTTAAAATGATGATGCTATGGTCTGTTAGTTCAAGCTATGAACCAAAGCCAATTCGTTGGTGGTTCCGTGGCTATCAAAAAATCACGGTGCAGGGAAGTTTAGATTGAAACTACGCGTTTTTACTTGCTTCGATGCTGGATTTTGTTATTGGTATGCTCGCATCTTATATGGTTCATGATTTGATTATGTTTTTGTTTTGTCTTGCGGCAGTGGTGGCGGCTATGTGGCTTACGCTGAGGCAAACTCTGAGCCAAAACTGATCAGCAGCGCGCCCGGCATAGATCAAGGGGAAAATAAGAAAAAGAAGATCGTCGTACTTGGAACTGGCTGGGCTGGAACAAGTTTCTTAAGGAATCTGAAAAACCCCAACTATGAGGTTCAGGTCATATCACCTCGGAATTACTTTGCCTTCACCCCTCTGCTACCAAGTGTTACCTGTGGCACAGTGGAAGCTCGCAGCATTGTTGAACCAATTCGTAACATTGTTAGAAAGGTAATGCTTGTTGCTTTGGGTTTTCAGAATCTCTGGTTCCCATCACTTATTATTTAACTGGAATGATTTTTTTTTTTTTTTGTACAGAAAAATGTAGATGTTCAATTCAGTGAAGCTGCGTGCCTCAAGATCGACGCACAAAACAAGAAAATCTATTGCCGATCTAATCTGGAAAACAATTTGAACGGACAAGAAGAGTTCGTTGTGGATTATGACTACCTTATTATAGCTGTGGGAGCCAATGTTAACACATTCAATACTCCTGGTGTGATGGAGAACTGCCACTTTTTGAAGGTAGTTTTCTTGTAAACCCTGCACTTTGTATTAATAAAATACATTCTTGTAAGTTTTCTCTTGTGAATCGAGTTTTGATTAGTTGAATGTGTGCATCTTTGTTTTATTAATCTCGGGAAATTTACTTCTACATGCAGGAAGTAGAAGATGCTCAAAAAATTCGAAAAACTGTTATTGACTGCTTTGAAAGAGCAAGCCTTCCAACTGTAAGCGATGAGGAGAAGAAGCGGATTCTTCATTTTGCTGTTGTTGGCGGTGGTCCAACTGGTGTGGAATTTGCTGCAGAACTTCATGATTATGTCAATGAGGATTTGGTCAAATTGTATCCCGGGGTCAAGGAACTAGTTAAAATTACGCTTCTCGAAGCTGGAGATCATATTCTGAATATGTTAGTAAAGAACTGACATCTGAACCTTTGTTATTTGTTTGGAACTAGTATTTTGTTATTGAATGTAGCAATATCTGTTAGTTATTTTTTCATTGTCATTGATTTCTTCTCATGTTTTTGCAGGTTTGACAAAAGAATCACAGCTTTTGCTGAAGAAAAATTTCAAAGAGACGGTATTGATCTGAAAACAGGATCCATGGTTGTGAAAGTAACAGATAAAGAAATCTTTACCAAAGAACTGAAAAATGGCGGGGAAGTTTCTGCCATGCCTTATGGAATGGCACTCTGGTCAACTGGCATTGGAACGCGTCCTTTCATAAAGGATTTCATGGCTCAAGTTGGTCAGGTGTGTTTCTCTTCTCATTGATGCTGTTGACTTCTCTCTCTCTCTAGAAACCTTATGAAGTTCAATTGAATATCAGGCTAATCGACGAGCTTTGGCAACTGATGAGTGGCTGCGAGTGGAGGGCTGTGACAAGGTGTATGCAATTGGTGATTGTGCAACAATAAATCAGCGCAAAGTCATGGTAACTGCACTTTTGACTGGTTTCTCCGTTAATCAATACGATAAACCAGTTGTTGATTCTCTGTTTGATATATGAAAATGTGTTTTATATGCTAAATAACCATCAAGTCCAGTACATTATCTAATTCCTTGTCTAAATCTTCCACCAATATGTCCAGTTTGTTTTCTTAATGCCTGTTTGCTTTCCAGGAGGATATTGCTGCCATATTCCGCAAGGCGGACAAGGATAATTCAGGAACACTAACAATCAAGGAGTATCAAGAAGTGATTAAGGATATCTGTGAAAGGTATCCTCAAGTGGAGCTTTATTTGAAGAGCAAACAGATGAAGAACATGGTTGACCTTTTGAAGGAAACAGCGGATGTTTCAAAAGGAAACGCGGAGCTGAATATCGAACATTTCAAGACCGCTCTTTCCAAAGTGGATTCCCAGATGAAAAATCTTCCAGCCACAGGACAGGTACTTGGTTTGGTTTACGGACATTTCGACATTAGTAATGTTATCAAAGGCACTTCTTCTCCACATATCGTAAGTCTTATTTGACTCTTCAATGCCATGCGTTCCAGGTTGCTGCTCAACAAGGTGTCTACCTTGCCAAATGTTTCAATCGTATGGAACAGTGTGAGAAAAGTCCTGAAGGTCCTCTCAGGTTCCGTGGAGAAGGTCGCCATCGGTTCCATCCCTTTAGGTACAGTTCAAAGCCATGCATTGCGATTCTTATGCTAGAAATTTAGTGCCTTCTTTGTCTAATAATTAAACAAAAAACGAGATGATTATCAAACGGGCCTTATATTTTTAGCGACGTCTTGGTCAGTTGTTAATATATAGAATGATTCATTCTTGTGAAGGTACAAGCATCTAGGTCAGTTTGCTCCGTTGGGAGGAGAGCAGACAGCAGCTCAGCTTCCCGGAGATTGGGTTTCGATTGGCCACAGCTCCCAGTGGCTTTGGTATTCTGTTTATGCAAGGTATTATTTACTTTACCATTTCAATTATTCCAATACAAAGTTACAAACACATATTTTAGGGTCCTCTTACATTATTGCCCGTTAGCGATTTAATACGTGTTTGTACCATAGAAAAATCAAAATATTGATTTCATTTGTAACGCATTTGCGTTTGAACAATGTTTCAGCAAACAAGTGAGCTGGCGCAACAGAGCACTGGTGGTATCGGACTGGGGTAGGCGTTTCATCTTTGGAAGGGACTCGTCGCATTTGAATTGAGCCGGCATCTGATGATTAATTCACAAACACTTGGACGCACATTTAAAAAGTTTTGTTTTCGAATTCAAATCATTCGTTGAGGAATTAATTACTTGAAGCAGCAGCAGATCTTCCTCTGTATTAACTTTTTATCAGTCTCTCGTGGATTTAGATGGTTTCACCAGTACTGTTTTTTTTAATAAAATAAGAATTTAGTGGAGCACTTGATGGGGTTGTTGTCGTTATTCAAATCATATTGCACGCCTGTCAACAGTTTTCGACATATGCTAAAACAATCTGATGAGTGATAACAAAAGAATTTGTCAAGCGCTGACAACGTAACCTGTTGAGATATACCTAACATACATTACATCAAAGTTCAAACACTTAATTGGCACAATAGGAACTTTTACCAAACATTCAGAGAGTCGTCGGATAATATTCACATGTATATTTTTCAGACTCCGGATGGTCCTGAGATCACCTTGGTGGTGATTCTGAGATCACCTTAATAGTGATCTTGAGACCACCTTGGTCCCAATGTAAGTCTGTCCCTACCTACATCATCCAACAAAAATCACTGCCCACTTATGTAAACATTCTTGATTTCACCCTTACGTTCAATGAATTAAGCTGATCAACTGAAACTAATAGGAGCTTTTTGTTACTGGCCCACTCAAAATGTGTTATGCTTAGCACTAAACTTTGTGCTAAGTGCAATGTAAGCTGAACAAAGATATAAGATCCATTTGGTGACGCATTAACAACAAAGTGCGGAGCTTGTGGCCTATTTTTCTCGCAGTGCCGCCACGTGAAACGTTGCCGACAAACAACAGACACCGATATTTTATATGGACACCCAGCAAAGAAGGCCGTTGGAAGAACATGGGTTTGTTTAAGCTCTGGGGGACATAGTGGGAGCTCAAGATAAGTCTCCACTCCACTTTCGACATGACACCGCTAATGACGTTTTTAGAAAAGAGAATCTACCTACACTAGGTTAATTGGTGCTTAAACCAACGCAACTTACACCAGCTTGAAATATTATGGTCACGATAAAAGTGTTTAAATCAATTATTAACGAGATATTAAAATATGTTAGACGCAAGTAAAACAAATAGAAATACCGTCGCAATAATATTTTTGTTGCTTCAAAATCCTCTAATTACCATGATTAAAAATTAACCAAAGGTTTAGTTATATTTCCTCTGCGGTGCTACTACCACTGGTATAATGCTCCACTCTCTTGATCTTCTCTCTCCTTCTTCGCTACATCAACCTCCCGTTCATCACTCTCGCTCCAACCTTTTCTTCTCCTCTCACATCTGGATTTCCACACCATTTCTCACAGCTTCGACCACACTTAGACCTCCCTCTCCCTTACATGGATTCCCAAAGAAAGAAGGTTCTGGAGCAGGTCCTGAACCTGGTCACTTCACCCAAGGACCGGAGCTCCGTCTCGCTGGTCTGCAAGGACTGGTACGACGTGGAGAGACACTCTCGCCGCCACGTCTTCATCGGAAACTGCTACTCCGTGTCGCCGGAGATCGTGACCCGGCGGTTTCCCAACATCCGGAGCGTGACCCTGAAGGGGAGGCCGCGGTTCTCGGACTTCAATCTGGTGCCTCCGAATTGGGGCGGCGACGTTCGGCCGTGGCTGGATGTGTTCGCTACTGAATACCCGCAGCTCGAGGAGCTGAGGCTGAAGAGGATGACGGTGAGTGATGAGAGCCTTGAGTTCTTGGCTGCTTCTTTTGCTGACTTCAAAGCTCTGTCGCTGCTCAGCTGTGACGGGTTCAGCACCGATGGCCTTGAAGCCATTGCCACTGACTGCAAGTAAGTGTCTTTTTAATTTTGTTTTGGTTTTTAAGTGCTTTTTCGATTGGTTTGTGAGATCGCTTTCACTACTGCTTAGAAAGTCTTATACTAGGAGTACTTTTATTAGGAACACAATGAAACCTTTATTGAAAATCAAAGTGCTTTCCGAAAAAAGCACTCTTCGAACAATCACATGGTGGGTCTTTTTTCAGAAAGTGCGTTTATGATCTAGAACCCCCCAAGTTTTATGTGAAAACCTACTTAGAAACATTTTTCTAGAAGGAAGCAATCGAAACATGCCCGAGATCTAAGACTGGAGAAATTTTTAAGTGTAACCGGTGCAAGGGGTTGTACATCCCTTGTCATTATACAATACAAAAGATGAGATATGTGTGCTAAAAAGTTAATAACTAAAAAAATAAAAATTTCCACGATTTATATAAAAAGACGTGATGTACCTGTGTTCCGGTCAGAATGAAAATTTTCTCCTAAGACTGGAAGTCCGATGACGTTCTATCTCCCCAAAATCTGCCCGTTTGATCTATATGCTTTACTGCTTATGCTGAACTTCACTTGTTGAGGAAAACAAAACAACTAAATCCCATCCTAATTTGGTTTTACAGGAATTTGACTGAGCTCGACATACAGGAAAACGACATCGATGATAAAAGTGGAGACTGGTTAAGCTGCTTCCCTGAAAACTTCACATCAATGGAAATACTAAACTTTTCCTGCCTGAATTCCGATGTCGACTTCGATGCTCTTGAGAGTCTTGTAAGTAGGTGCAAATCACTGAAGGTGTTAAAGGTTAATAAAACTGTAACCTTGGACCAACTACGAAGTCTTCTCAACCATGCTCCTCAACTTCTGGAGCTAGGCACCGGCTCGTTCTGGCAAGAGCTGACACCCTCTCAGCATTCAGAACTCGAAAGAGTGTTTAGCAACTGCAAGAATTTACATGCACTCTCTGGTTTATGGCAAGCAACAGCTCTTTATCTCCCGGTTCTGTATCCTGTCTGTACGAATCTTACTTTCTTGAATTTGAGCTATGCAGCAACTTTGCAAAGTTGGGACCTTGCTAAGCTTGTTGCTAATTGTCCACATCTCCGGCGCCTTTGGGTAAATGCCCCATTTCTTTCCTTTTACATATAACAGTTCTTCATTTTGAGAAAGCTAATCTGAAAAAGTCAGACGAGAAAAACAATAGCGGTTTTGAAATCGTTAATGGTTGATCACAACAATGACATAATAGTTTCTTCATTTTGAGAAAGCTAATCTATTGGGGTAATAGCATTTTGAAATCGCTGTTTGTTGATCACAACAATGACATGGTACATGTTGACTGTAGGTGCTAACTCTTAATATCAAATTTTTTCTGCAGGTGCTGGACACAGTGGAAGACAAAGGGTTGGAGGCTGTTGGATCAAACTGTCCTTTGCTTGAGGAACTCCGTGTTTTCCCTTCTTCTCCCGATGGAGATGATATTGTTGATGGGGTGACTGAATCTGGGTTTGTTGCTGTGTCCAATGGCTGTCCAAGACTCCGCTATGTCCTCTACTTTTGTTGGCAGATGACTAATGCCGCTGTAGCAACTGTTGCACAAAACTGCCCTGATATAACCCACTTCCGTCTCTGCATAATGACCCCAGCAAAACCAGATCACCTGACGGGTGAGCCTATGGATGAGGCTTTTGGTGCAGTGGTGAAGACTTGCGCTAAACTCGAAAGGCTTTCCGTTTCAGGTTTACTGACCGACCTTACATTTGAATACATTGGGAAATATGCCAAGAATTTGGAATACCTTTCAGTAGCCTTCGCTGGAGACAGTGATCAGGGGATGCAGTACGTGATGAATGGTTGCCCCAAGCTCAAGAAACTTGAGATACGGGACTGCCCGTTTGGGGACACAGCTTTGCTCTCAGGTTTAGAGAAATATGAATCTATGAGGTCACTTTGGATGTCAGCCTGCCTTGTGACAATGAATGCCTGTCGGTCATTGGCAAGTAAGGTGCGGAGGTTGAATGTTGAGGTGATGAAAGATGATGAAAATGGTGATGACAGTCAGGCTGATAAAGTCTATGTTTACCGTTCTATTGCCGGGCCAAGAAAGGATGCCCCGGCTTTTGTTCTCACCTTCTGAAGACTGAACAGCTTTTGTGCTCCCTCTTTGAACCTTACAAAATACATGGTACTCTCTCTCTCTCTCTCTCTCTCTCTCTCTCACACACACACACACACACACACACACACACACACACATACACATACACACAAACTTGTAAACAGATTTTGAGTCAAAATTTGAATCGTTCTATGTACACAAATTTTGGTTTTTCTTTTCTTTTTAACATTTCAGCTGGTGCAACAGGGAATTTGTGATATCTGCAGTCTTGGCTGAGACGTTTTTAGGTGAGGGATTGAACTAGAATTTGAGGCACTGACCATTCACAAAGTTAAGCAAAGAAGGATTAAGCAAGATTGGCTCTTCATGAATGGTCGCGTGTAGAATAAGTCATTGACAATAAGAAAGAAGTTTTGCTTTTGGGTTCAAGTCGTTCGTCGAGGAATTACATGCAGAAGCAGTAGATTTTCCTTCATACTTGTATCGGAGTTATGGATTAGTTAGTCTCACATCCTTCATACTTGTATCGGAGTTGTGGATTAGTTAGTCTCACTCACCACACTGTTTCGAAAAATAACTTACGACATTCGTAATCCTTTGCTACTGGAAAATGTAAGGATTGATTTCTGGTTCATAAGTCAATTTGATTTTGAAGTATATGTATTTATAACCCTGAATACTAGTAACAATAATTCTTCAGAAAAAAAGATCATGAAAACAAATAAATTGTAATTTTACGAGAATGACTTACATAAGACTGCAGCACCAAGATGATAGAACTTTGAAGTTCCTATATGTTTTAACGTCCTTTGCTTGAGGAACTTCGTGTTTTCCCTTCTGATCCCGACGGTGATAATATTATCCGTCGGGTGACTGAGTCTGGGTTTGTTGCGGTGTCTCATGGCTGCGGAAGACTCCGTTATATCCTCTACAGTTCTTGGAATTTGTTCATTTATTTATTTTCTAGATATACAAATTCAAGGAGAACGAAAGGGAAGTAAAGTTTTATGAAGCAGAGCTTATGCCGTCACGGCCTCCAACGGCAGGATGTTATTTGCTTCCACAGCGAGATTGGGTGTTCCCCTGAAAAGCAAGAATGCAAGGCTACCGACGAAGAAATAGATGAAGCAGCCTTGGCTGTGTGTCACAAACGAACCAAAGTCTGTTCCTACGATGCACTGCCACCCCAGCCCGTACGTGTCATCAAATTCCTGCATGGAAACAAGCAAAGAAGGCAAAAATAAACATGTGAATTTCAAATGATTTGTTGAGGATTCAATGCTGAGGATAATCCAGGAAAGAGAGGTGACCTTCTTTATGAATTGGGCAATCTCAGTGGGTTCAGTGACATCGAAGTTATCGAGAGCCTTTGCAGCTAACTGGAGAGCGTCTTGCTGCATTGTTTGAAGCATATCAGTCTCATTGACGACGGCTTTACCTTCCAACATGGCTCCAGAAAACCTGCCTGGAGCTGCCGCTGCAGTTGCGAAATCGCGAAAGAGCTGCAGATTTATAAGGCAGTTTAGAATGAAGGCATATATAGGCTGAAGTGAAGCGAATTATATCGAAACGGGAACTTCGCATTTCTATGTGGTAGTCTCCATGCCGTGTGTGATCATCAAAGAATAATGCCAATGAATAAAGCCAGGTGGTCAGGAAACAGACAAGCTGATTGTGTCATGGATGATGGGGGCATGGAAGAAGATGCATTTCTTGTGTACAGGATCTCGCATCTTGTTCGATCAGTGCTTCAAGTTTGCCGTAGCGAGGGGCAGTTTTCGATTCGGGGTCCACATTATCTCGGAGATGCCGGACGTTTGTGGTTTTACAAGTAAGATACTTCTGTGAAATTCAAGGATGGTGTTCTGAGGTTGATAGTCAGTTGTCTATTTGCCTACACTCTTGTTTTCTTCTTTTTTTTTTCTTTTTTGTTGATCCAAGAACCTGTATAGCTTGTCATTGCTTCAGGTTGATGAGAAAAATACAGCAATTATCCACTTGTGTTGTTCTGGATCAAAGGCCTCTATATGCACTTTATTGAAAAAACAATCGGCCCTTTTACTAGAGAAGTGTCAGCCTAAAAAATCATCACTAAATTGAGCGGAAATGAGTTGGGTTTAGGATAGGTTCTAGATTTGGTTTCAGGATTACGAGAGGTCCTGTATTCCGTTCCTCCAAACATGAATAGCAAGTCTCGAGCCTTTAATTATCCATTAAGGCAAATGATGTAACTGGGCTTTTAGAGCAGTTCCACCGAAGGTAGAATAGCCCAGCACCCAGTCAAAAAACCAGGTTAGCACCTTGTCAATTCATTCCAGCCCAGCAACTTGCCTGGCACCCAGCCCAAGCTGGTCTCTGGGCCAGTCCAAAATTGATTGACCAAGGAGCCGGCTATTTGCCTGGTGCGTGCCTTTCACAGTGACAACCTCCGATTGGGGCTAAGCTGGAGAACAATTTCGTTGAGTTTTTTCTCGATGACAACCTCCGATTCCGAGCTACAGCATAACAGAACAACATATAAACAAACCCAGAAAGCAACGGCAAACCAAGAAAAACCAAGGGGTGCGGATTTTCATTTTTCTGTGGGGGAAGATCGAAAGAGTTGCAAAGGGAGGTTCCAGGGGTGGGGAGAGAGAGAGAGAGAGAGAGAGAGAGAGAGAGAGAGAGAGAGAGAGAGAGAGAGAGAGAGAGAGAGAGAGAGAGAGATGCAAAGGGAGGTCCCAGGGTGCACTGGGTGTGTGTTCGGCGGTGGTATTAGGTTTGCTTATTTTTTCTGGGTTCTGATGAGGGGAGAGAGGGGGGGGGGAGACATCTGGGGGAGATGGATGTAACGTGCACAAGGAATTGCACAGAGAAAGAGAGTGTGTGCGCGGCTAATATTTTTATAAAATTGATAATATTTTAATAAATCAAATTATTATTTTATAATAAAAATTAAGAATATTTTAATAAAATTGACTAGGCTATTTAGTTTTAGGGGTGGAAATGCCTTGGCCTATTACTGTTCATTGTGATATATTACTGTTCACTTGAGTGAATAAATGCTGGCGCAAAGTTTTTAGGAGTGGACTTGCTCTTAGATGTGCAGCCACTTCATGCAGATTTGTTGTTAGTTTCAAAACTCTTAACTATAAATATATTTCCCAGTACGTGATTTCACGTGAAGAGAGTGATGGACATATACAAAGACATAAATCTAAGAATATGTCGTCCTGAAGATCAATCGTCCCCTATGAGTTCCGGCCCAAGAGTCGATTCCGATCTTTCTCCTTCTAGGGGTGTTTAGCAAATTAGCATACTCAAATCCAGGATGGGCATGACAAAACAAATTAAGGGAATTATTGTTTTCATCAAATGCTAATTCACTCGGTGTTTTTTTGGGAAGTTTAGAAGGAAATCAGATTCTTTAATAATTAACGGTGCCATACTTAGATTTTGTGGGGCAGCTCATGACTACGAATTCATCACAAAAGTCTAATTTTAATAACTTAAGAGGTGGTAA